CGCCCGCCCGCCCGAAGTAACTAATAAACTGAATCACTAGTGCTTTTTTTCTGTACAGGTAAAGCTTAGCTACCCACCCACCTAACCTCTACCACCCTCCCTTTTCAGTGCACTGTCTGTTATCTACAGGTTTGGGCAGAATCTACCACAAGGGGAAGCTTGGCCAATGTTAGAACAGGGTGCCATGATGGTAATTAGGTGCACCCTACACAGGACTAATGCTTGAGTCTCAACTTTTATCATGAAGGTTATTGTTTGTCATGTGTGTGTAGTCCATCAGACAGGGCCTCTGTAATAATAGTGTATGCACTGTTTTAAGAGCTTGTAGTGTAAGAGCATGTAATGTTTTTGCCTTTAGGTTGAAATGCAAACAGCCCAGAATCTCTCAACATACAGGTCTAGGTTTAGGTAACTTCCTCAATTCTATCCATCTGTGTCATTCTTTCACACACATATGCAGACACACAAATACTGGTATGTTTGTCCCTTCATCTTAAAAAACAAATCTTTGTCATTTTGTGTCAGGCATTTTTTAGTTCTCAATCTCTTCTTCTGGCCAAGCATGACTTGCCCCACATACATTAAACACACAATCATTCCTATAGTACTCTAAGTGATGTTTCTTCAACATGCACCCTCAGCAGTTCCTACAGTAAAAACACCAGCTGTACCACCATCACAAGAAATGGATGGATAAAACACCCTCGCTTTCATTCCTCTTATCAATCTTTTTCAAAAACCACTTACTTCTTCTCATCCCAACCTCCGCATCCACATTGGCCCCCTTACCCAATTACTCTCATGTAACAGACAGTCTTGTATGTAACAGTGACAAATACTCGCCCTCAGCGCAACAGCCAGGAGTAGAAGAGAGAGAGGTGGGGGAGGGGAACAAGGTGTGGGAGAACGGGTAAGGGAAGAGAGGATGGGTTCTTCTTCTTGAGGAGAATTTGAAAGATGATGGGGATGGAAAACTGTGGGCCAACATCCCTCTTTTCTTCCTGCATCTTTGGGATGGAGTAGAGGGAGGAAGGACAAGGAAGGTGACTGAGATGGGAAAGGGGGTTGGTGGTTGTGTGGGGTGGGGGGAGCGCAGGGTTTAGTGTGTTGGCCTTCATGTGTCCTGGCCGTCGGTGGCAGGGGTGTCGTTGGCATTGGGCATGTCAGAGTCATTCTCCCGGCTGGATATGCGGTCCAGCTCTGCCTGTACATCGCTCAGACCCAGCTTCGAACCTGCAACAGGTGTGGGTGGATACCAATCAATACCATAACATTATAGTATCATATCATTAACCACAACCATTTTATACAATGCAATAAGCAACAAGGCAATTCAACGGGATTGAAATAAGAGCTGGGGGAAATTAGATAATAGGAAAAGTCATTCAGGATAGTATAATTAGAGTTATTTTAACAGGGTTAATTAGGTTATGTTTCACAGTAATTCAGTAGACTGGTCTGGTTTTGGAAATGTGCTCTTGAGTTAGTTAACATACAGAGACATATTATAATAAAGGTGAAGTAATTTAGCTCAAATTGCCCCGTTTTTGCATTTGTAAATGTTTATAAATTGTAATTCGAACAGTGTTTAAAGTATGATCAAACAGTCCAGGTTTATTGTAGTAACTTAACAGAAAATGATTACATAATCGGTATCCAGTTTAAATATTTAATATATGGAAAATACGTTGAGTATTGGCCATACAGTATAAGGTACTAAGTATCAATTGTCAGTACATCAGAGTCTCAGCTATAATCATGTGCAATGTTTGTGGCAGATATTAGTCACGAGAAATGCAATGCAGCATGCAAAAAAGAAATAGAAGTATGAGGAGGGGCAACATTAGGGGTGGAATCTTGGTTAAATCTTCAGCAGTCAATCAAAATGATCCTGGTATGATTACATTCAGTTCATCCATTTTAAATACTGTCTACCAGAAATGTCTGTAACTTTAACTATGTCTATATCTTAGCCTTATATTTCAACTTGCACTTTTGGGGCCTACATTTCTTATTCTGCATTTACTTGCATCATATTTCTTAGTTCTATAAATATTGAAGGTGAATTGTTGAAGGAGAGATCCAAGATTAGGCAACGACTGCTTCACTGTAATTGCAGTGCATATAATACAGGCTCAGTGGAGGGAAAGGGACAACAGAAATGTAGGGATGCTTCTGAGAATCAACATAGACAAGCAATGATAAACGATATCTCTCACACACACCTTAACGTGGCCAGCATCCTCTGACTAGAACTAGCGCATACACACATTATGAATGATGTTAGCAGTGAGATTACAAAACAGACTGTGAGCTTTGTTAAAAACTAAAATACAGTCACACTACAAAATACAGGCAGGCCTAAAGATGATGGGTTTTAGACCATTTTATGATTTATTTACCATGCGTTATGTTCATGTCTGGAGAAGAGGAAAGGAGAGTTAAGAGAAAATGAAGGATTGCAGATGGGAGTTGCAAACCATAAAAGAAGCCGAGTAATGAGTAGCTGCAAACGGCATTAAATCCAAAGAACAATTGAGAATTTATTCTCTATCCATAAAACTGAAGCATGGTAGCAACTGTATTCTCACCTGACTTGCGTACTGTTCCTGGAGTGTTGTTACCGCCCCCTGGCGTCCCGGGCCCCCCCGTCCCTGCTTTCTTTGTCAGTAGACTGTTGAAGAAGTTGGCCAACACACCCTCACTGGTCTGACCTGCAGCATTAAGGGACCAGAGTTAGAAAAACAAACACACACAAGCAATGCACTAACTCAGTGGTTCCCAAACTTTTTCAGTCGGGCCCCCCTTGGGTAATTAGAAATATTTTCAGGACCTCCCCAACCCGGTTCCCATCTATATTGGTAGGATTAATTGTATATTGTTGTAAAAACATTACATTTTCTCTGCTAATAATAAGAAGACGCAAAGATCCAACCATAATTTTATATTTTATTATGGCTTACACATGAACAAAAGTGCTTGTAATAGATACTGTGAATTAATTTGGCCTAATTTAAACTGGTTGGCCTTCTTCCCTGAGTAGTAGATTTTTAAATTCCAATTTCTTTAAGGAAAATATATTAATTAACTACTATTTCTACTGCAGGTTGCAAACGATCACATCACTTTACCATTCCTATTCCACACATAGCTCATCAATTACTTGCAGATCTTCTCAAACCTGGGCTGTTGTTTTGAGACTGCCACTCTCAGTTCATTCTCAATGTTCAGCTTTGATCTGTATTTCGTTTTGATGGCAGCAACAGCAGAAAAGCCTATGTCACACAAGTAGGATGTTGCAAAAGGCAGCATTATGCCCACAGCTCTCTGACCAATGAGATATTTTCCAGCAGTGTTTGTTTACAATTGAAAAATAATAATAATACATTTGATTTATATAGCACACTTTAAAAACAACGTCATCTCAAGGTGCTTCACAAAGCTAAAAGGATAAAATAATAAAATAAAATAAAATCCCGCGCACCCCCTGCAGTACCTCCACGACCCACCAGGGGTCGCACCCCACAGTTTGAAAACCACAGCACTAACTGAACCTTCATCATGGGTTGATGGTGTTGATGTGTGCAGCGCTAAAATGCATGACGTACCCGACTGTGGCATGGCGTTCGCTACGTTGGCCGCTGCTGATCGATTACTCGTCCTGGGGGAGCCGGTGGGAGCTCGACTGGTGGTGTCCTATAAACAACCACAGTATTCTTTAAATACTGGAGGGAGCTTTTCTGTATCTTATTAGCCAAAAGAAGAAACAAAATAAAGCACTTACCACTGGTCGCCCTGCTGTCACAGCGGGCTGTTTGGCGAGCAGCGACTGCAAATTAGAGCACAATAGGCACACTCACTCCAATTAGTATTTAATTCACATGTCAGGACCCTCAAGTCAGATTTATTTGGAGTACCATCGATCAGCAAACCAACTGGCATATAAACAACAATTACTGACCTGCAGTTTTACCAGAAACACTTGGTCATCTTCAGCCTGAATCTCCTTTTCATGTACAATCTGGTGAAAAGCAAGAGAAAAATTAATCATTTCTGAAACACGCTTCCAGTCCTTCATTAGAGTACTACAACAGATGGGATATTGGGTAAAGATTGGCAGTAAAGGACACAATATTACAGCCTTTATAAACATGCTGTGCTGTAAGCTTAGCTTGCCTTAGAGCAGGGGTCGGCAACCTTTCTGATATGAAGTGCCATTTAAAAGAAAAAATGTTATCAGCGTGCCAACGATCGAGAATTATCAACGGGGGGGGGGGGTTGAGGAGCTTGACGCTCGTCAACTATCAGCAGGAGGGCGGGGGAGCCTCGCTGCGGGGAAGCAGTGTGTGGACCTGTCAGCGCAACTTACATGATGCCGAATTTAACAAACACATTTAAATAATTGGTTTAAACGGCATAATAGTAAGGACGATCGTCCGTTCTGTGATTCTCCAGAACACACATGATATGATATTAGGGTCATGCAGAGTAAGATGAGATCGCTGTCCGTTTAAGAGAGATAGAGAGAGAGAGGGGTGTGGCTTGTGCATGTGTGTTTGTGGATGGTAGAGCGACAGTGAGGGAACGTGTGTATGTTTCTGGAAGTGACAAGACGA